ATTTAAGGAAATGTAGAAAGACTGGAGTTAGAACAAAAGAGAAGATATATGCTCAGCACTTCTCAGGCTGAACGAACTGAATTAAAAATTCAAGCCTCGGGTTGCAATACTCGAGGATTCTTTTTGGGGGCAAAAAATTGAACAACATAGGAAGAATCAAAAGGAGATGGAAAGAATACACAGAGTCACTGTACCAAAAAAATTGGTCAATGTTCAACCGTTTCAGAAGGTAGCATATAATGAAGAATTAATGGTACTGAAGAAGAAGTCCAAGTTGCACTGAAGGCATTGGTGGAAAATAGGCTTCAGGAATTGATGGAATGCCAGTTGAGATGCTTCAACAAACGGATGCAACACTGGGAAGTGCTCACTTGTCTATGCCAAGAAATTTGGCCAACAGACTGGGAGAGATCCATATATGTGCCCATTCCAAAGAAAGGTGATCCAGTGGAATGTGGAAATTATAGAAGAATATCATTAATATCACCTGCAAGTAAAAATTTGCTGAATATAATTAAAAAACAGTGGTAGACAAGTACATCAACACGGCACTGCCAGAAGTTCAGGCTGGATTCAGAAGAGAATGCGGAACAAGTGATATTATTGCTGCTATCAGATGGATCTTGGCTGAAAGCAGAGAATACCAGAAAGATGTTTACCTGTGTTTTATTGACTATGCAAAGGCATTTGACTGTGAATCATAACAAATTATGGATAATATTATGAAGAATGGGAGTTGCAGAACATGCAGAACGTGTTCATAGACCAAGAGGCAGTTGTTCATACAGAACAAGGGGATACTGCATAGTTTAAAATCAGAAAAAGTGTGCATCAGGGTTATATCCTTTCACCATACTTATTTAATCTGTATGATGAACAAATAATCCAAGAAGCTGAACTATATGAAGAAGAACGGGGCCTCAGGATTGGAGGAAGACTAATTAACAACCTGTGATACACAGATTACACAACTTTGTTTGCTGAAGGTGAAAAGGACTTGAAGCACTTACTGATGAAGATCAAAGACTACAGCCTTCAGTATGGATTACACCTCAACATAAAGAAAATAAAAATCCTCATAACTGGACCAATAAGCAACATCATGATAAATGGAGAAAAGTTTGAAGCAGTCAATGATTTCATTTTACTTGAATGCACAATCAGTGTCCATAGAAGCAGCAGTAAAGAAATCAAATGGTATATTGCATTGGGAATTCTGCTGCAAAAGACCTCTTTAATTGTTAGAAAGCAAAGATGTCAGTTTGAGGACTAAGGTGTGCCTGACCCAAGCAATGGTATTTTCAATCACTTCATATTCGTTTGGAAGCTAGGCAATGAATAAGGAAGACCAAAGAAGAGTTGATGCGTTTGAATTGCAGTGTCGGTGAAGAATATTTAATATACCATAGTCTGCAAGAAAAACGAACAAATCTGTCTTGGAAAAAGTACAACCAGAATGCTACTTAGAAGCAAGGATGGCAAGACTACATCTCACATACTTTAGACATGTTATTAGTAGGGACCAGTCCTGGGAGAAGGACATTATGCTTGGTAAAGTAGAGGGTCAGTGAAAGAGAGGAAAACCCTCAATGAGATGGATTGACATAGTGGCTGCAGCAATGGGCTCAAACACAGCAAGGATTGTGAGGATGGCGCAGGACTAGGCAGTGTTTCGTTCTGCTGTACATAGGGTCTCTATGAGTCAGAATTGATTCAACGGCAGCTAACAACAACAACAACAACAACTGATATTGTAAAATGATATCTTTTTAAATTAATTAATGATGTGAATTACATAAACTGCTTTTTATACCAGTTTTGCATTCTTGAGATGAATTTAAATTGGTCAGGATATGTTTTCTTTTGTATACTTGCTGGATGCGTTTTGCCAATATTTGGTTGAAGATTTTTACCTGTACGTTCAGCAGTGAGATTGCCCTGTAATTGACTTTTTGTTCTTTGTTTGGTTTTGACATGAAGTTATGCTGTTGTTGTTGTTGTGTGCTGTTGAGTTGATTGCGACTCACAGCAGCCTTATAGAGCTAGCTTCATAAAATGATTGGAAAGTATATACTTTTTTTTGTGGTTCTACGGAAATTTTAGTACCAAATTTTAATGATTTCTTCTTTGATATCTGCTAGAACTTGCTGATGAAGCTGTTGGGAAGGATTTTAGTTACTGATTCAGTTTCTTTAATGGTTATAGGACAATCAGGTTTTCTAGTTCTTCATTTGGTTTTGCTAAGTTGTATTTTAAAATTTATCTTCTTAGTTAAGTCCTCAAATTTATTGGTAAAGTATGGTTAGTTTAATAATGGTTTTCTTTTTAATATGTGTAGCATCTGTACTGATATATCTTCTTTTAGGCCTCATATTGGCTATTTATTTCTTCTCTCTTTTTTTCTTGATTAGATTCATAACCAGTTTATTCATTTTATTAGTCTTTTTAGAGAATCAACTTTTTTTCTTCAGAAATTTCTTCTATTTTTATCAATTCCTTCTGTAAACTTTGTGTTTATTTGCTTTTTCCCCTAACTTCTGGTAATGAACAATTGGCTTATTTATTTTCACGGTTTCTTTTAGTAAATTAATTCAAGGCTAGACATTTCTCTCTTATTAGCACTTTGGCGCCATGCCGCAAATGTTGATAAGTAAGATTTTGCTGTTTTTCCATGAAAATATTTTAGAATTTTTCTGATGATTTCTTCTTTAACTTCAGAATTATTCAAAAGCGTGTATCCTAATTTCCCAGCATACTGAGTTTTTCTAGATATTTTTTGGTTTCCAACTTAATTCTTTTGAAATTTGTTGGGACTTACTTTGTCACTTAGTTCATGCCCAGTTTTTTAAAAATAAATACTCCGTGTATGCTTGGAACAAATGTGTATTACCAATTTGCTTTTGTGTAGTTGTCTATGTATGTCCATCAGGCCACATTTGTTAATTGTGTTGTTCACTTTTTTACATCCTTACTAATTTTTTTCTTTTTGTTCCATCAGTTACTAAGAGATAGGTTTAAATCTGCTATGGTTGTAGATTCGTGCATTTATCCTCAAAGTTCTGAGAATTTTTGCCGTATATATTTTGATGCTATGTTACTAGATTTATTTGGTGTATTACCTTCGTTACATTTAACTCCCCATTGACTCAGTGTGTTTATGATTTAGGCTTTAAAAACAGACAAAAAATCACAGCCATGCCTACTATAAGCCCCTAGTTTGTTTACTCTCTCACTCACCTAGATGATTATCTCACATCTCTACTTTCTCCTCAACCCCTGAAGCATTGTCCTCTCTCTTCACTCTCAGCTTGTTTGCTGCTTTAATGAGGAAAATGGAAATATCAGAAGAGAACTTCCGAACTCCTTCTTCAACATCTACCTATCTGTCTACCTAGGAAGGTTTATACTCACGTACTCTTCCTTTATATTCTCATAACTAAAGCTAATCTCTCTATTTGTACATTGGATTCCATCTTCACTCACCTATTCAAAGACATACTTTCTGCAGTTCTCTCTCTACGGACTCTTTTTTTTTTTTTTTTTTCCCCTCCCTCTCTCTCTGCTGGATCTCTTATACTACCATACAAATATGCTATTATTTCTCCCAATTTAAATAACATTTTATTAACCCTAGTTCTCCCTTTAGCTACTGCCCAATTTCCTTGCACTTTTTTGTCACAAAATTTCCTAAAAGAACTATCTATATTTGTTGTCACCAATTTGTCTCCTCTCATTCTCTTTAAAATTTTAATTATGAAACGTGGGACACGTTGACTAGTACGTAAAACTTAAGTGTTCTAGTTGGTGGATGAGGTGTGTGAAGTGAGGTAAAGAGGGAAAGCAAGAATCATTCCTAGTAGTGGAATAATATCTGTGGTACTTAATATCCAATTTTAATTGGGATTCTGAATTTTTAATTTTAACTCCTGATGAGGTTAGTGAGTCTCTTGACAAGAAATTTCTTTTCATTGTTTTACCAGTCATGTTTTTGGAACTGTTAATACTCTAAATCACATCCTTTTCTTTGACATCAACTTTGTATTTGTCTATTTATTCAGGTTACCCCCCCCACACACACACACACCCAGTATCGTGACATAGATTGAACTCAAAGTGTCTGGAAATACAATCTAGGTATTTTCTGATTATGCCAATGGTATTATCTTAAAGTTATAATTTCTTTTTTTAAAAATAATATTTTATTGTGTTTTCCGTGAAAGTTTACACAGCAAATTAGGTCTCCATTTAACAATGTCTACAGAAATTGTTCAGTGACATTGGTTACATTTTTCACAGTGTTTCAACATTCTCATTAATTCCTTTCTGGTTGTTTCCAGTAATCTAGTTTCCTTGCCCCCTTACCTTCTCATCTTCGCTTTAGAGTAATTGTTGACCATTTGGTCTCATACAGATAATTTTTTAAAGGAGCACAGTACTTACAGGTGATATTCTTTATTTGTTGAGCCAGTCTGTCATTTAGTTAAAGGATGACCTACCTCAGGGGATGGTTTCGGTTCATGATTTAAAGAGTATCTCAGGGCGATAGTCTCAGGGAGTCTTCCAGTCTCAAACCAGTCCAGTAATTCTGGACTTTTTAAGAATTTGAGTTCTGTTCCTGTTATTCTCCGATTGTATCAAGATCCATGTATTGTAACCCTGATCAGAATGGTTGGTAGTGGTAGCCAGGCACCATCTAGTTCTTGTGATCTCGGGATAGGTAAAGCCATGGTTTGTGTAGACTGTTGATGGATAAATTTCAGAGAAGTTAGTTCCTCAAATGTTTCATTTCAGCTTTTAATTCATTTAAAAAACGTCTTTGAGCACTTACTATGTGGCATACATTTTATTATGTGCTGGGGGAAGCAATGGTGAACAAAATAGACATGCTCATATTTCTCATAACTTTGTTTTAGTGCTCTCTTAAAATTAAAAAAGATGTTTGTATTTTAGGGTTTTGAAGATTGTTTAAATTCACCTTGTAATTTCCTCCTTATATGCAGCTAATTATGCTGTTGCTTTTGGAGGATTCCTGTATTTTGCCACCTATTTTCCATATAACATCATCTCTCAAAATTATGCAAAGATGACTCTCTTCCAGAAGCTGACTTCCTGTCTCAGCTCAAATATTGCAATGGCACTGGGAACTCAATTCCTATTGAAGGCAGAAGTGGATAGTGAGTATTGTTTTGCCTTGCTCTAATAAAACATGTATTTTCTAATTCACAGGCTATTCACATTTTAATATTGATTGATACTGCTAAACTGCCCTTCAAAAAATTAGACTACTTTATACTACCCTTTGTAATGTGGGTGTTCCCACATTCCCTCCAGAAATTTACTACGAGTCTATCAGGGCCTCTTCCTACTCCTTTTCCTGAATTGCCACCCTCTGTCTAGTGGTAGGGGAAGAAGCAACATGGGTCCGCTTTTAGTAATTTCTTCATTTCTCCATGCGTGCATTATCTACAAAAGATTCTTCTAGTCTTTTGTTCTGTATTCAGCACTCATCTCTACTTTTCAATGATTATAAATATTTTTCCAAAATTATATATTCTAGTGAACATTAAGCTAGCAGGAGGAGGAGTGAAGAGAAAAGGGCCATGTCTTAATCCATAGGTCTGCTTATTGTTCTTAATGCTTATTTTCCTGACCTTTTGGTATATATATTTTTTCAGTCATTAGCAGTTATTTTTTGGTTTGGGGTATAGAAGAGAGTGCCTTTTATGAGTACATACTCAATTGTCCTCTTGGAAAACCTAAATTCTAAGGGTATAAGAAAGTAGTTGTTCACAGTAGGTATCTCCAGAGAGTAAAAACACATTATTTTCTTCACTGTTTAATTATGATAAAGATGGATAACTCTATTTTAGTCTGACCTAGAACCTAAATTAAATGTCTCCTGTCGTGTTTTAGATATTGGAATTAAATGGAGTAACATTTTGTCATCAACACAAATTGATAACTTTGTCTTTGCCTATATACTGGGAATGCTTTTATTTGATGCTTTCTTGTATGGTCTTGTGACCTGGTATATAGAAGCTGTCTTTCCAGGAGAGTATGGTGTGCCCAAGCCATGGAACTTTTTCTTGCTGGTGAGTTATAATGCTTCTGGTATGGAGAGAGACCACAATCCTTAAGAACCTGTTTTTTAATAGCTGTGAAAGCCATCATGAATTAATTTTATACTCTGTGTAATTTAATCAATAGATCAGGTGAAAGAATAATTCTCATCTACACTACAGCCATACTAATTCACTAGCCTTCTCATAATACATTGTAAGCCCTCCCATATATGTAAATAGAAATAATCTGTAGGTTGTGGCCTGCAACCCCAAACTTTACAGATTGTGCCTTTTCCAGCCAAGCATTTCATAAAAGATTGAACTCAGGGCATAAAGAAATGAATATGTGGTGGGTCTTTGGAAGCCAGTGAGGAGAGTTTCAGTTATGTCCCATATCTGAGCACTTACCACTTGCTTCATTTCCTGAGTTAGCCCAGATAGCTTAGAGTTAGAGCCACAGATAATGGGGGGCATCTACATCTTACCCTCCCTCTCAGTCTTTTCTCTTAATGTCATTGGCTTATATATGGCTCAGAGAAGTGATACAATAGTTTTCATTGTGACCTTATTTCGAAGTTATAATTTTAATAGAGCACTCTTTTTTTATGCCCTGGGTATTCAAATTATAGCCAGTTATCTCCAAAATTTAATCCCAAGGAGTTTCCTGCAATTCATTGTAATACAAAGCAAAACAGACCAAAGTATTTTCAAATGCTTCATTTTTCAGTGCCATCATGGTGATTACGTTTTTATTCCCTTCCTAGCACTCTTACTGGTTTGGAGAATCAGCTGAGAAGAATAAAGAAAGAACTCAATTTTATGAGACAATTCAAAGCAAGTACTTTGAGCCTGAACCTACTGACTTGGTGGCAGGTATCCAGATCAAACATTTGCACAAGGTATTGTTTCACAGGTCTCATTTACTTGATGGGACTGAAGTTTAGTTTACAGTTTAAGATAATCAGATACTAATAAAAGGTCATAGTGATCATGTTTCCTTTCTTTGCGAAAGATCCAAATGAAATTTATGTAATATATAATAAAAAAACTACATCTTTCCTTTCTCCTTTGTCCAGAATAGAGTCGGGTTTTCTGTAAACTGTATAAGTATCTATGAATGTTCTTGTACCTACGAATGTTCTTGTTTTCAAAAGCAGAGCCAAAGTGGAGCCTGATGATTAGAGTATGTGAATATTAATTTTTGTTCACAACTGTTTTGTATTTATCTGTAATCTCCTCTGACCTGTTGTTTGGCAAGGAGGGACTCTTGGATTTCTCAGTTGATCTGAATCAACTCCAGGCATGTAATACTCAGGTAACCCGTATATATACCGACACTCTCTTCCCTCTCAGTGGTCTAGTTAAGGTTGATTTGCATTCTTAATCCTACAGCTTGTGGAAATTCAAAGTCCTCTTGAAAATTCTACTAATTTGGGCAGTGTTCATGTTGTTGGTATTCTCTCTGCCTCCGGTATGCTGTATGCTGTCTCTATTTTGGTCACATCAACTCAGAGGTACAATTCAATATTTTCCCGGTTTCCTCGGGAAATCCATTCACATCAAACATTTTTGTGGATATTAGTAACCTGTAATACAAATTGGGGCTGGGTGAAGTTGACTCAAGAAACACATAGAGTACGGTCATTTCCCCAGCTCTGCTTACCCTTGTCTCCTTCCAGTTTGTGTTTATGCTTTTCCTCCTAGATTGACCCTGAGAGCTTCCTCTAATGTGCAGAGCACTCATATCTCCTCACACTCCCCAGACTTGCATATCCAGGCTTATGAGAGCGCTTAGAAGAACCAAGGACCTTTGTCATTCATTTGCTCATTGGTTCATTCGTTCGTTCATTCTTGGCATTGGGAATATAGCAGTGAAAAAGACAGACAAAATCCCTGCCCTCATGGAACGTAGACTTCAGTGTGAATAAAAGTTAGTTAGCATTTAAACAAATGAACAAACAAAATAATTATGTTATTGTTAGGTGCCCTGGAGTCTGTTTTCGATTCATGGTGACCCCATGTGGCAGAACTGCCCCATAGGGTTTTCTTGGCTGTAATCTTTACAGAAGCAGATCGCCAGGTTTTTATCCCGCGGAACTGCTGGGTGGGTTTGAACTGCCAACCTTTGGGTTAGCAGCTGAACGCTTTACCATTGTGCCACCTCTAGTACACAATATATGCCATTTGGAAAATAGGGAGTTGAGATCCTACTAAGGGGTAGGATTGTTGTTGTTGTGATGTGCTGTGGAGTTGATTTTCAACTCATAGCAGCCCCATGCATCAGAGTAGAAGTGCCCTGTGGGGTTTTCTTGGCTGTAATCTTTACAGAAGCAGATCGGCAGTTCTTTCTCCCATGGAGCCGCTGGGTGGGTTTGAACCACCAACCTTTTGTTAACAGCCAAATGTTTAACCGTTGCACCACAAGGGCTCTTTTAAGGGATAGGATAGGAAAGAGAAGCATTTTAGGTAGGTTATCCAAGGAAAGCCTCTCTGAGAATGTGGCCTTTGTGGACACTGGTCACCCTCTCTGACGATAACCTCAGCTGAACAGAGCCACTGCACCCAAAATTAGGCCCCTTTCCCTGGGACAGCTTGCATCCAATGATTGTTCTAGGTGGAGACATTAAGGTCCAGCCCTTTCCCCCAGTTCAGGTCAACTTTAAATAGTCATCCCAGCTTCACAATTCCCTGTGGGGTTGACCTTGTTGTTATTCCACTGCAGCCTAAACTATTTTCTCTCCCAAGTCTGCGTCCTTCCCTTCCCTTCCCCACACAGTGTTGATCTCAAAAGTACTACTTCATAATTTCCATCTTATGTAAACTTTCTGAATTCTAATTTCTATCTTAGAATCTACTTCCCAGGGAGCCTAATTAGTGAATGTTGGTACCAGGAGTGGACTGAGAAAGCAGATGATAAGATGAGAGGCAGGCTCTGGTACAAGTTAGCGGTGTAATACTCATAGGTAGTTCATAGGTGGTGAATTGAGATGGCATACCAGGGGAAAGAAATGTACTAGTTAGTGCCATGTGTCAAGCTGTTGAAAAATATGGGGGAAGTAGAAATAATAAGGACCATGGAACTGGATACCTGTTACGGGGGAAATTGATACACTGGAGACAAACTACAAAAGGCGGTGTATGATTAACCAACAGAGGCTAAGTATGAAATCCAGAGGACTTCCTAGGAAGCATATAAAGAAATTTTTATCTCTAGCAGTCAAAGAGCAGAAAAATCTGAAAACTAATCCCCTGACTTAGTCATAAGAATAGCAGAGCTCCATAGAATGTTAAATTCCCGATGTAGGCAGGTTAGATTGAAACCAAGACAAAGGATGAAAAATCTAATCAAAATCTTGAGTCCCATTTTGAACCTTCAGCTTGCGGAAATGACCCATTCCTCTCTGTTAAGGACTAGCATTCCTTTGTGCCTTCCTTGAAGATTGTGCAGTGGCCTTTGCCCCTCTCCCACAAAAACTAACTCATAACTCCCTCTCAGGGTTTGTCCCTATTCCTCCTCCTGGCCACTAGGAAATATTTTGGGTTATGTCACAAAATATAGTAGTCAGTCTCCAAGATGTCCTCCAATGATCTACACCTCTGGTTTTCATGTCTTTGAATAGGGCTAACCTGTATGACCAATTGAAAACTACACAAGTGGCATGAGTCTTTTTCGAGGCTATCATAATAGCCATTTTGTCTTCCTCTTTGGTCTCTTGGATTACTTACTGTGGGGGAAGTCAACTGCTTGAGGACACTCAAGAAGTTACCTAAATGACTCCAGAGAGGCCCACATGGTATGAGTCCTCCACCCAGCAGCCAGCATCAACTTAACAGCCATATGCATGAACCACTTTGGAAGCAGATCCTACAGTTACAACTAAGCTTTCAGATGACTACAGCCCCAGCCAATATTTTGAGTGCAAACCTATGACAAACCCTGAACCACAGCTGCCTACTTGAGCATCCCTGAGGCAAGCAACTATGAGAAAAAGAAATGTTTATTGTTGCTTTAAGCCACTAAATTTTGGTAATCTATTACTCAGAAATACATAACTAAAATAGATGTTAGTACCGGGAAGTGGGATGCTGCCTCAAGAACAACCTAAAAGTATGGGAGTAGCCTTGGTACTGGGAAGTGGGTAGAAGGTGGAAGAACCTTGAGGAGAATATTAGTGAAAGCCTAAAGGGCCTGTAATAGATTGTTAGCAGAAGCCTGATGTCTAGAAGGTGGCTGTCATTGACAGGTTAAAGGAAAGTGAGGAAACTGTTATTGAAAACTGGAGGAAAGAAGATCCTTGTTATGTAATGGCAGAAAGTTTATCAATACAGTCACATGTAGTAATGTGGAAAATAGAAAATGCACCTAAGTGACCTAAATGATTGCACTAATGAGATTTTCAGGCAGATTGTTGAAGGAACTTCCTGGCTTCTTTGTAAACTATAGTATGGGTGAGAGGAGAGAGATAAGCTAAGGAAAGAACTGTGAAACATGAAGGATCCAGATATTGGTTTTGAGAATTCCCAGCCTCTCCAGATGGCAGATGCTATTAAAATTAAGAAATATCTTCCAAGCAAAGATTAATTCTAGAGCATTGTCAGAAAAACCTGGTCTAAAATTGAATCCAAGCTGGTGACTGTAAAACCGTTTGTTTAAAGACTTCAGAAAGATCTAAGGTGGTGCCTCAGAGAACTGCTCAGTGGCACAGTAGGGATTCTAACAGTCTAAGGGCATTATTCCTGAGGACCCTGAGAAGAAACCCAAGGTAGAGAAAGGATTATCTCAAATTTATTTGTGGATATGGCTTTTGTGGAATGTGTTAAAGAGACTTAGAAGAAATACCACCAGCTTGTACCTAAAAGGACAGATAGTATAAAATGAAAAGAGGACTTTGAACCACCCAACTTCTATAGGAAGAAATAGGTTGAAAAACTGAGCTGCAAACATGTGCTGCTTTTCATGGCAAAGGAAGGATGACTCAGAGGCCAGAACCAAGAGCCCAGAGGATAGAACCAAGAACGATGGAGAATTATTCTCTGCTCTTGTGTCCTAATCAAGGAATTGCCAACATGTGTACTGCTGGATTTCAGAAATTCTATGGGCCAGTGACTCCTGTGTGCTTCCTGTTTTCCCATTTTTTGAATAGGAATGTGTGTAGTGGTTAACCTATATTTATCCCACCTTTTTATGTTAGGTTTGTGTGTGTGAAGGTGGAGGGAGGAGGGCAGACTTCTTATCCTTTTGGTTCAGAGTTATTCCGATCAAGAGAATCGTACTTGAGGAAGTGTTACCAAGAAACTATACCAGAGGAGCCTCATCCACACCTGGACCTGATTTAGGTGACAAGATTCTGGACTTTGAGCTGATGCGATAAATGGTTGAGGCTTTTGTGGCACTTGGGAGCAGGTGAAAATATTTTACAAGTGGCAGGAATATGCATCATTGGAGTCAGAGGGGGACTATAGTAGCTAGCCTTCATGATGGCTGCCAGGGACTCTCCTTTCCTTGTATTCATACCCATGTGTAGTCCCTTCCCACACTGAATAGACCTGACCTGTGTGGCCCATAGAATATTACAGAAGCAAGGGAACATGACTTTCAAGACTAGGTAGTAAAAGGCATTGTGGCTTCTGCCTTGGTCTTTTGAATTGCTTGCCCTGAGGGAAACCAGGCACCATGTCATTCAACCTGTCCTATGGAGTTGCTCATGTGGACAAGAGCTGAGGCTTCCAAAAAACAACCAGTACCAACTCAGGAGCCATGTGAGTGAGCCTCCTTGGAAGAAGTTGCCCTGGTCTCAGTCAAGCCTTCAGATGATTGTAGCCCACGTTGACACCTTGAGTGAAACCTTGTGAAAGACCCTGAATACTTCCACTCAACTAAACTACTATGTTTTATAGG